AACTGGGACAAGTGGGGGAAAACTTATAAAAATTTAGTCCGTTATATGTCAGTTTGAATTTTGTATTATAACAGAGTGATAAGTAATATCAATATTTAAGCAATTTTGTGTCATTATTTTATTAGTAAGTATTTTGGAGATATTGCATTATACTTGTATATTTCATATTACTCCAAGGTTAAATTTGTTGTGTGTTTATTTATTCTTTCCTATTAAATTAATAGGGTAATTCCGCCGCAAATACGCCGCAGAAGTCAGAAAAAATAGAAGGAGGTAATTTTCCCGCAACTACTCTGTTATATGCTTTTACGTTATATTAATATTGAATTATGATTTCAGCTTCTTACTGTTAATATTAATAAAATTATTGTGAGTTGAACCGATTTGTCACTGTAATAAGTAGCGCCATCATAAATTATAATCTACATAAAATGATTGCTGTAGGACGTGTAAAAGACTTAGGTTATTTCGTGATGCATACGTGTAGAGGAATAGTAAAGCATGTTGTATAGCAAAATATAAATATTTTGCTCTTGTATTCTTTGTTTAGTTTGTTGTCTTGTATATTCCACCTGTTTGGGATATACCGCATTTTTAGCGGGCGGGATTTATGCCCAAAGCATATCAAGTTCGCAGATTGAATTCAGCTCACTAAATGCAATAAACGCATTACATGAAATATATACCTCATATCATAATATTTGTAATATATATAGGAAAAGATTGTAATTATTATTTATTACTTCATATATATATTTATCATTTTTATTCCTTAATAAAACTTTATAAACGCGTTTTATAAGTTATTGTGTCATTTTATATGCATTATTTGTAAATTTTTTATAAGTCATATATACGCTCCCCTCTCTTCCCCCTATAAATAGTCATATACCTCATCCATATGGGATATATGGCAAAAATATAAGAGTTTCAAAAAGTTCGTTTTTTAATACAAAAAATAAATATGTATTTCGGATATTTTTAATATTGTTTTCATAGTAGTAGACAGTACATACTTTTTACTGATATAGTTCGTTTTTTACTTTAAGTATAGTAAATAATATTTAATAAATTAAATTTTTGATAGGTGCGGTATATATACCGAAGTTACCCTAGTTATGATTATTTGTGTTTATAAAGATTTAGATTATAAATATTTTGTCATTAATGTCGGTCTAAGAATTATAAAAGGATAAAGAGCAAATTAAATCCGGTTTAAAATTAATCTACATTGGTGGAAACTGGCACGAAAATGCGAAATGTATGAAAATCTTGTGTTACATAAATTAAAAATGATCTATTTCCTTGTAAGTAAAATTTATATATCAATTGTATGATATATAAATATCAAAAGTAATACTGTATTACTTAATATCGATAGCATTCTAGAATTATTGGTATTCTGACCAATTTGACTTCTAACTTTAATGAGATTGTTGCTCTTATACATATAGATCTATATAGATTTGATATTGGCAATACCAGCAACCTTGCCGATCTGCTCATCAAGCTCGGCTATCTGCCGTTTCTCGTTCTCAATCAGCTCAATATACTTGGCACGCTTCGTCAGCAGACACTTCAGCTTCTCAACCATTTCCACATCCCTACGCGTGAATGTCTTTGACGACGCGGTCTTAATCGCCAGTACGAGTTCGGCTTTCTCGTATTCCAGACGATTGATAGTGTTCTGCTGATTGTGGAGTTGCAATCTCGCGTCTTCCGCGCACGTCGCTCGATCGTTCTCCATTATCCTATATTGCCTTCTCAGCCTCGAAAGCTCGGCCTCCGCCATCGTCTCCATCTCCAACTCATCCTGGACCGGTTGCTGTTTATACGCCATCTCGGAGTCTCGTCTTTGCCAATCTTTCTAGAGTTTGTTGACAATCAGCGATGACAATTCGCAGAAATCATCTTGCATGCGATTGAAAGCAGGTTAATAATAACCCGGAGGTTATTATTTCGCGTACCTACTTTTTTACAACAGGTTCATGGAAGATAGGTGGAAGTAAAGGAGAGAAAGCCGTAAATTTCCCGGAAGACGTCGCGTTGATGTCTTTGCGATCGGCAACGCCGGTCACGAAGACCCATGTAGGGGCGGGTCGCACTCCAGTCGCGATCCCCGATGACGTTTCACGCCGATATTTGAGAGAGACATCTGCCACCCCGAACAGCCGAGGTAGCTTAACAGTTAGCAGCTGTAAAAGACTGTAGGGCGTGCTATAACCGCTTCTGTTGCTACTTCCGGTTGCTAAGCAATGGGCTCAGCGACGTAACGCTCGCTGAATGGGCTTGGGCGCAGCGGAAATTAATTTCCTATCTGCAAATATTTTTCACATATTTTCGACTTGCACCATGTCGCAAGTTGCGAAGTAACTCCAAAGCATTCATCTAAATTATAAACTTCTTGATAAATTCGGTACAAGGATAGGAAAGTTATAAATTAAGCTGTTTAAGCTGTTTAAGCTGTTAAAACTAAAATTAAGCTAAGTTGATTCATTTATGTATATATATATAATGGAATTATGACGTGCTTTTTATAGTATTCTAAAGTTGTTAATTGTTAAGCGTATTATGTTTCGTCTCTACATACATATAATTTATTACATAATATAAATTAATGTAAAATCTCACGCGACGAAGATTTTATGATCGAGTTTGACCTCATTTCGCGATATTCAAGCGAAGATCCATTGCAATGCGATAATCGGAAATGTATCTAATATAAATTGCTTCACTATTAATACGTTTATTGATCGTTAAGGTAATCCACGTTATGCGTTTGCGTTTGTAAATAAGATCAAAGAATAAGTATAGCTAAATAAAAGAGGTTTCTTCGTGGAGTATTTTGCGTGCACTCAATTTTCCTTTCTCATTAGTATTAATCGTTTCCTACAAATAGCCGCGCAAAAAAAATTCAGACTGTTAGTACAGATAGTACTTTTATATTCTCGTCATTAGGAAATGTTGGACATTTTATTCAATATTGAGCGAGAGACGACGTATCTACAAAATTGTTTTAGGGCAGCAATCATATAACTTTTTCCCTATATACGGCGGAAACATACAAAGTGAAAAACTTCTCAATCACCTTTATAATAGAAATTTTCATTTTCCACATTATCGTTTAAAAAACAACTACTTGATCATCACTGATAAGTGCACAATTTATTAATACAATATTGGTCCAATATATCTCAATGTTTAATTAATGTATCGTCAATAAATTGCTATTATAGAGCCAGAGGGTCATTCATGTAACTTTTTCCTTAGAATAAAAATGTGAACATTTTTTTATATGTATGTGTGAACCTGTATTTTCCTGTATTTCATTACACATATATATAGAAAATTTACATAATTGAGTTTCTGATCTCAAACATTTTTCCGTTTGAATTTTGACGTCTCTTTTCGCTTATCAGAATTGCATTTCAAAACCCGACTCTATCAACCCGAATATTATTTTATCTTTATTGTTCACCGAATGTCGAACAAGGATAAAAGATATTCGGAATTGACAGAGCCAAATTTTTGGAACGCACCCCAGGAAGCCGACGTTCTTCACGTGTTCCCGTATAATCGATGAGAGGCGAAAAAATAATTAACCCGTTGATCGACGACTCGTGGATCCGCTCGTACCACGTCGTTGCACGAGAACTTCATGGGCGCCGAGTACTACCCGTGAATATTCGGTGGGATTCAGTCAGGTGGTGGTTTGACCAGGTGGGTCAAGTGGTGGGGGTACACGCTCGAGAATGCAGACGGGGGAGACGTTAGTTCACCTCCGGAGGGGAAGGTCGCCAGGTCGATCGGTTCTACTCGCTGCGCGCGAGTAACGAACACGAGGGACCTCTTCAGATTCCGACCGACCATCGTGCGGTACATCTCTCTTGGGTATTTCCATTTGCCTTTCCGGTCCTATACACAAAGGATTCGTCGCGAAATTCCTCCGTCGCTCGCGTACATCGGTACCTACCTCGCCATTACTCGGGCTCGACGCGGAGCGATTTTGGCGGTCGCTCGGATACGCTTCGATCGATACCGAAGCGGCGATTGTTGAAGATGTGTGCAGCGCGGGCATATCCGTGGAAGATTATTGTGAAATTCGATAAGATCTCGATGACATCGCGATCTGTTGTGTGCTGCGACTCTTATCCGATTGGAATTGCACATTAGAAGGGTGGACCATTTGAACTCGCTAGAATAGTAATGATTTTTGCGTCTACAAAGATGTATTCATTTTGTTCTATTCAATCTAATCGTAATTTTGTTTTATTCACTTATCAGATTATTCGCAGAAAATATTTAAAATCTAACGATTTATAGATATTTGTAGTTTTTTTTTTTAATTCGACGAGTTCGTCCGATTCTACGTAAGTGAATGTTTAAGGCTGATTTTTTTTCTGCGTTTTCGGTTAATCGCAGAATTTTCACATTTGATTTGATTTTTCGGTAATGTAAACAAAATGCAAATTGTCATAAGTTTATCCGTATTTACGCGAGCCGACACAAAGAGGCGGCCAAGCCGCGAGCGGGTGCGCCGAGCCGAACGAATTACTTTCAACCGCGCCGTACAATATGGTGGGAGAGCCGTGCTGGTCGCTCTCAAGCACGCTGCATGATTCCGTAATATTTATTTTCCACTCACGGCTAGTGACTCACTACCTGGCCGACCGCGCCACGGCGAGCAGGTAGACCTCGCGTCCGTGATCCGTGTTCGTGAGCGAGATCCGTGATCGCTCTCTCACATCCTGCGTGTTTCGCAGTGAGTTCGCGAGAAGTGGAGATGCATGTGTGTGTGTGTGTAGGTGTGTGTATACGTCCATGTACCAGTGCTCATTTTTTCAAAATTTTCAAAAAGAAATTCTAAGCATTTATCGTGTCACAAGTATTTATCGAGGCTCTACAAGACGCCGTAAAATATTTATCGAAAGCGGCGAAAAAACGCATAGATAGTGTCTCAAGAAGTTCGTATCCTTCGTTTAAAAAAAGAAAACAAAAAAGAAAAAATTAAAAATACTATACCGTTAGATATCGAAGGAGCGCGATGGTAATTCAATCTCTTGAGCTAAATGACATTTCGTTATTTTGAACTTTCTGTGTTAAAACGTAGAGCAATCCATTTCAGTGATTATTTCCAAAGTAAACATCATATCAACGTACACACTTAGTAAATAGTAAACTGTGTTCGAGTCAAATTTAATACATTCTTTTTAGTTAAATTGATTCCACTGTTTTAGTCAAATTAACGACCCGTATTGGGAACAGTGGCGATCTATAGAAATGATTAGAAATGACTCGAACAGGTTTTAATTCGACATTATGAATTTAACGATATAGTGTAGATGGCAATTAGTAACTTGACGAAAGACAAACAAAGACGCGTTCGATCAGTGGAAAGCTACCGAGGGTTGATCGCGAGGGGAACGTGATCGTGGCAATCGTTCAAATTAACGTCGATCAGTGTCGGGGGTGGGTCGGGGTTTAGATCCACGTCCTCCTTTATTGGATTTATCCGTAAGGGTTGATGGTGCCGCTAAACCGACGCTACGTACGAATCGATAAACGTGAACTGTCGCACGTGCCGTCCGTGACCGTCGATTGCCGTCACATTTTTATCGCCGCTCGTGTCCAATGCGACGCAATTGCGACTCTATCGCCCTATCGCTCGTGGTAAGCGAGCAGAGACGCTAGGCGTTTCTTCACCCACGCTCGTGAGTCGATTCGCGCGGAACCGATTTTCGAGCGTCCGCGTGCCGAACACGCGAAATCAGCGTGATTAAATCCGCCCACGCGCGGCTCGATACCACTTTTCCTTCGCGACTCGGAACTCGCGCCGAGCGACGCGAGAACCGAGTATATAGACCTCGCCTAGCTTCTCAAGACGAACAATTCGCAATAATGTTAGAATACTAGAAATAATAACTGTTTCGTTTCACTACCAAAAGATGGAATCGAATCGAATGTATTGGGTTGTTCGGAAAGTAATTTCGTTTTTTCCCAACAGAGGACTTATTGTATTTTTTCACAGCCAACTTCACACTTAAGCCGCATAATCATTATATATTTTGACAGCTGATATAGCAAGGCTTGCTTGTGAAAAAAGTTCGATTGATTCTACGCAGTAGTTTTTGGTTGGTGCCCTATCAAATATGGAAAGTGAAAAGCAGCATTTTCGGCATATTTTACTTTTTTACTATGGAAAAGGTAAAAATGCTGTTCAAGCAAGAAAAAATTATCCGATGTGTATGGAGAAGATGTATTGACAGAACGCCAGTGCCAAAACTGGTTTGCAAAATTTCGATCCGGCAATTTTGATGTTGAAGATGCGCCACGTTCTGGAAGGCCAGTTGAAGCTGAGGAAGACACAATAAAGGCATTAATTGATGCAGACCGGCGAATAACAACTAGTGAGATCGCTGAGAGATTAAATTGATCGAATTCGACCGTTCATGATCATTTGAAACGCGTCTGATTGAAAATCGTCTTTCATTTTCATAAGAAAAAACGAAATTACTTTCCGAACAACCTAATAGGATTAATCACAAAAACTCGGAGAAAGTCGCCGAAAAAATGAATTGGCTGTGAAAACCCATTTATATATCGAACGTTTCGTCGAATGAAAGTACAAAGAAAGAAAAAGTGATTTTTAATAATCATTTTGATATTATTTTTGCTCAGCTTGGGTTACACTATTTGGAAACTTGGCATTTCGGGCCGCAACATCGAGTACGTGATTGCTGTTTACGTGAAATGAATAATTCCTGATTGCTTGCAGAATAAACGCGCGGGTACTTTTTGTTATACAGTGACTTTTATTAATCATACACGCAATTCGAAAATAACGCGTTACATCACAAATGTTTAGTCATTCGTAGGAAATGTCAGGGTACCGGTCTTTTAAAAACGCTAACGTTTGAAATGTATGACGCGATCGGAAATCGAGATAATGTATCAAGCAGAACAACAAGTTGAGATAACGTTATAATCGAAACAGAGATTTTTAATAATTATTTTGGAGATATTTTGATGTAATGTTTTCGAAGTCACGATGACTTTTTGTTCTGGTTAGAATACGTTACAGGCATAGAAGAATAGACTGTGCCTTGATCTTAACATCTATGCTTTGTTAGACGGAATCAGCATTCTTTTTCTCGAACTTTAAATTTCAAAAAGAGAGCAATACGATTCCTCTTTCTCGAGAATGACAACTTCATAGAACTGCACAAGTCTGTTTTTGTTTATATCATTATCGGTTTAGAAAGAGTAAAGTAACTTGAATCATATCACTCTCCCTCTTTCTTTCTCTCTTTCTTTCTAGAGTATCGAATTGAAAAGAGATGTTGATAGAGCTGAATAAATATTCTATAACATAGTTAACATCTGGCCAGCGATTTTGTCCCACCAGAGAAAAATATTTTCTCTCTATTTATGTATATACTATCACACTCTAACTTATACTGTTTCATTCTATAATCTTAATAAAATGTAGAATGAGACAGTAAATAAGCTAATATGAGATAGTATATCTATCTTTCTCTCTCGCAGAATCGTTACAAAATTTCTCATCTAAAGTCGAAGAAAAATGCTGATACGATTCAATTTTTTTTAACGGAGTACAAATGATAAGATCAAGAAATACGCAATCTAATGTCTATTACATCTACTTATAGGATGTGTCATCTAGATAAATACGTGGAAACAATTTACAGAGACAACAAAGGCGAGAGATTAAAACCGAGTTTCTTGATCTTTCTTGCAGAAGCGGCTGGATGCCCATTGCGAGATGGTCCTATCGCAAATCAGACGCACGCCGAGAGACTCTCGTTATTTGCTCCAACATAGAAGATTTCTGTTTCGTTGCTGCTCTGAAATAAACAGTGCGGTTATCCGAGAATCGATCTTACTTACGATCTTTCTACAAAGCTAAAACGAACGTTATTCATTGCGGATAATTGGAGATTACCGCGGAGCATCGTTGCGTCGTAATTCACGCGAGTCATTCCCGATCCGATGGTGCGGTGCTCACTGGAAATCATCGATCATTCTTGCGATTATACCCGCGCAAGTGAATTCGTAACCGGATATGCTCGAGCGAGTTGTGGACGAATGAACGGAGTGGTGTGTGTCGCAATTCGACGGACTTTCCATTCGCGTAGCCTTGCTCTGAACAAGGAAAGATCGAGAAATCGCGGGAGACGATTTCGCGACGAGTCTCGAGCTGAATAAACGTCTCCTTCTGGAGCAGTGTACGACATCGAGCTACGGTAGCAGCGAGGCAGCGGTGGAGACGTAAGAAACCGTCCAGGTTGATAGCCGGTCGATCGATAGCGCGGCGAACTTCCGCGATCGATATCCCCGGGGAGAAGAACAGCGGTACGTTGCACTCGCGTAATGAGAACATCGCCGTCGTTGTCTTATACAATAAGGATGCTGTTAATTGCAATAGTGGAGGATTCAGCCCATCTATATTTGTGCGATTACGAGTGCATCGAGCGCAATGTCAGGGCGACCGATCGCTTCCGGTAACCGAGCGCTGACACGATTCTTGAGGAAGGGAACTCGCGGGACAGGCCGACGACGATTGCAGAGAGAGGTAAGTGAATTATGCGTCATCCAGGTGATTCTTGCGATTGCGTGCTCCTCGCATGTTGGTATGCTGCGAGACTTCAAGGCCCGACTGCTTTTGGGTCGCGCGCGGTCCTCGAGCGAAACGGGTTGTAAATCTCCTCGAGACGATGCTCTTCAAGGTCTTTTCCTACAACGCAGAATCTTGAAAGAAAAAAATTATAAATGTATAATTAATAGTTTATTTGTGTCATTAATTAATTTAATAATAAGAATTGATTAATTATTATTAAACACGTATAAATTCATCTTATTGTTAGTAATCAAGATATAAATTAAGGGTTTGTTTTAAAATTTCATGAACGTATTTCTGAATAAGAAAGAAGAAAAATATGTTCATAAACTGAGAGACAAATTTTTTAGCATTTGAAACTATAAGTACATCATAACTATGATTATTATTGCTTTAATGTTAATAATAATAATTACATATACGTACAGTTCTATCAACAAATGTATATATATAGTTGACAATCGAAAATAATTTTGTATTCATTAGAATAATTTCGAATATTATTTTCATTATAATGATATTTATTATTACAATAAAAATAGTTTACTATAATTTTATTATGATTTACAGTAATTTTTTAAGATAGCCATATAACGTTATATAACAATAATAACCATAATTGGTTATAAATGTAAAAAAAAATTTTCTCTCGATATACGAACGCTAGATCGTAAATGATTCATCGTTGAAATAATTGATACAAATATAGATTTGAAATGACTGAGTATCAAATTATACTCAGCCATGTATGATGGACAAAACTTTGAGCGTCGTAAACAAAATAATACTCATCCGAAACTTTTAAATAGATATTATTTGATACTATTATATGTATCTATTATTTTGACAATAAAGTGTTTATTATTTAATATTCATATAAGAGAACATTTGTTTTTATTTTATCTAGGAACACGTTTATAAAATTTGAAAATATATTTATGCTATTTATAATATATTACCATATACATATATATATATATTTACAAATTTATTTATTTTTTTCTTTTGATGGGTATATTGTATGCCTTAATAGATAATGTTAGAAAATAAAAAAAGTATATAAATCACACAGTATTTGTTCACGCATATTTCCTCATGTTTTTCAATGATAAAAGCTTATTAAAAAAAAAGATTGTTTTATCTGAAATCAAAAGCTAGCAAATAAATATAGTTGATGATTTATTACAGAATTCTAGGATTTGAAATATAATTACATGAAAAGAAAGGACGTTATTAATCTTTATAGATAAAGAAATATTTGTAAACTATGTGAATGGATAAGATTTATTTGGTTGGATAAATAGCTTTTTATGGAGATTTGTATACTTCAGCGCGGAGAAATGATATTCTATTTTTTCAAATTAATTATAGATATATGTATTGTATTTCTATGTCTTTTTTATTATTAACATGATAACGTGTCACACCTGATAGATTGTTTCCTCATCATACGATACTTCAATTAAATCTATATCTAATAAAAAGTAATAAGAAATAATAAAATTCGCAACAATATAATAAATTGAGAACAGAAAATTACATTGAGAGAAAATGATGATTTCAATTATCATAATTTAATTATGTATAATTTATAATCGATGTGAATCAAAATGAATTTATTTCAATGTCCATTACATATTTTTTAGAATTATATAATTATTTATAATTGTATATATTACTATACATTATAAAAATAATAACTAAAAATGGAATTTCTAATTACAATTTTTATCATGCAATTATAAGTATCAAAGATTTCTCTCAGCGTATACATGAGTAATAAATATATTTTATGTATATATATATATATAAACAAAAGTAAAAATATACATTATAATTATATGTTGTAAACATACATTAAGCTTCATTAATTATTCATTTATAATTATTATAATTTTATCTTAGCAGCTGAAATAGCCTTCAATTTTTTTTTGCTAAATACTATATTAATATAAAAACATTAAAAACATGTTCTACACAAAATTGAACTCAACTCCTCGGCTCGGTTAAACCAGTTTGTCGAGTTTAGTTCGTTTAATTTTTGAACGCCATACATTCGAACGGCTATGTAATATCATACCGTTTGCTTGGCGTTTTTGAGTGTCAAACGTAATAAGAGAAAAATCCGAAATTAATTGATTTCAGCTAATCAATGGCGTTCGATAATTTGACGCTACCCACGCACAACCACGCGATGTCCACGAGGGAAAGTCGATCGTGACGTCACTTATCACCGTGTCCGAATACGTTTGACGTGTTGTTGTTGCCGAAGTGTACACTTGACGCGGTTTCCTCCTCCTTCGTATATCGGTCGAGAACCGCGAGTTCGTTTCGGTGACGGAAACAGAAGTGACGTTACGCCGTGTTGTGTCGTGGAAGGTACACCGATAACTCGCGATGCTACCGAAGAAAGACAGTCAGACGGAGCCGTACGCTCTCGAAGATATGATATCGGATCTTCAGGCGAGAAGGCACTCGTTGGATCACGAGGACGTCGTGCAGGATCCAGCCGAGTTGCTGAAGCAACGCGAGAGAGATCTCGTCCTGGCCGCTGAACTCGGCAAGGCTCTGCTCGAAAGGAATCAGGAGTTAACGAAGCAGGCTGAAACCTTAGCTGAGGAATACTCCGCCAAATTAGAAGTGAGTACATATTGTTAAAAAAAAAAATTCATTGAGGATGGCTCGAGGCGAAACGTCCAATCGTCTCGTGATTGATGTAAGGAGAAATTGAACACAGAGTATATGTTTGAATTTTAGTGAACGAAGTAACGCGGAGTTCTTTTACTCGTACTTACTGTGGTGAATTTTATGTTTTGTTTAGATCTCGAGAGTTCAATTGAATTTTTTTGATTAAGAATAAAAAATCCGTTTGCCTGGGCGCGTTCGTTTCATAATTGCAGGCTTCGGAAGAATAATTTACCTTAGAACTGATTACAGACTTAGAGAATGCTCGTTATTTCTTTAATTCAATACAAACAGAACAAATGATGAAAATATTATTAAAATATTAATAAAAAACTACTGAGGTGAAAGTTGCTTATTTGTACGAGATGCACAAGTTGCTCAGCAAAGAGAGATTTATGAAAATATAATTCGAGCGTTTTCTCTCTTAAGTGCGAAATACATAACTATACGAGAATAATTTATCGTCCGCGCCAGCAGTTAAGAGATAACGCTTATGTAATTTTTTGCTCGGCGTTTATTAGATAAAAATTAATTAAAAGCAGAGTGCACCAAGTTTCCGATTTAATGAGGTGAATTTTACTTTCGACACGCCTGCGAGATTACACTTTGTATGAGAAAGACATGGAGGGGGGGGTGGGAGAGGGGGAGAGGAGAATAATATTTTTAATAGAAAACTGCGCCAAGCCTGGTTCTGTTTCGCATATATATAATGCAATGTGTTCGTTGCACACATGTGTGCAACGGCGCAGCAGTAGGCACGTTGCAACTTGCAACCAGCTCGTGCTCCACTTTCGCGAACGTTAATCCTCCTTCGATTTTATATCTTATTACATTGCTGTTAGTTTTATGACGAAATCGACGAGGAAACCTGAAATGACTCACTGACCACGTAAACATTAGCTCTTCGAGAATCTGCCTGTCACGACGATTAGGGATACCATTAGTTCGTTTACATTACCGAGGTTATCGTTTATCTAATCGATAAAATCGTTAATTGTATGAAAATAAAATATTTTCGTAAATAATTTTTAATATTCCTATCTACTTAAATTCGGTTGTTTTTTTTTTTTGGAAATCTTTTAATTTACAACTCTTTGATTCCGACTTCTTGTTTTTTTTTTCTCTTGTCTCTTATCTTGTTTCTTCGTTTTTTCTGTCGCCCAAGATAAAGTGAACGAACTTCGGAAGAGACAAGATACATGTGACTAGATATAAGATACATGATTTTATACAGAAACTATGGGTATGATCATATATTCCTTTATTCATTGTAAAGAATAATCCTTTATTTCAGATAGCTGACCTTTAGATTTATTTGTTTCTTTAAAATTTAATTTTGTCCTTTACTTTCCAATATTTTCCTTTTACTGTCCTTTATTTTGACATTACGAGAAATTCTTTTCTAACTAGCTTTTCTACATCTATAACATTATGTTAATAAGCAAATCTTAAAAATATTTTACAATTTCATGCATATAAATACAATTTATTTTTGTTATATTATATTTCTTAATTTTTTAAATCAAATTTATTCAAACTAGAGTTGTTTTCATTTTTTATTATTTCAGATCAAGGGTTTGTTCAACAGTCAAGTTTGAATACAGTCAAATCAGTTTTCAAACTATAAAAAAATGCGCCTTATCTCAATTTGATTATACTATGCAATAAAATTTTATAATGCACAGATTCTTGACAATTACAAACTGGTTTGAAAACATGTAAGAACAAAGTTCTAAAATTTTTAGATTCGTCCTTTATTTTCTTTAAAAAAATATGGTCGTAGATATAGGGTTTCGCGGATCATCTTCGTGACGTGTCTATTGCAGTTTATTTCATCAGGGATGGAGTAGTTGATACTTATCATGCTGTTCCTTGCCCTGATGAAATAAACTGCAACACTCTTAAAAGGTTGGCATTCTAATAATGGATTTGAAGATAACTCGCGAAACGCTTAGCTTTTGTATAAAAAATTCCCGTGGAAGCCTCAAAAGTAGTATCAAGATAATTATCGACAAATCAGTTACAAAGAGGGAGAGATAAAAGATAGGAAGCAAGAAATAGGAAGCAAATAGTACATTGCAGATTAGTTTTTAACCACAAGAATATCTCACGTGTCATTCTGTACAGTTAAATACATCTCGCTATCAATTGATCGCAAGCAGGGACCATGTCATTTAACGCGTCATTGAACGTGATGAAAATTACCGACTGCATTATCGTAAATTACTAGTCACTCGTGTCGCTGATGTAAATGCAGATCCACAGATAAT